ATTTTTGAATGTTGAGAACAAATTTTGAAATGGAAAACAAATTTGGAAGCACGAACAATTTTTGAAAGCACGAACAATTTTTGAATCTTGAGAACAAATTTTGAAATGGAGAGCAAATTTGGAAGCACGAATAATTTTTGAATGTTGAGAACAAATTTTGAAATGGAGAACAATTTTTTAAGCGCAAACAATTTTTGAATGTTGAGAACAAATTTTAAAATGGAGAACAGATTTAGAAGCACGGACAATTTTTTAAAGCACGAACAATTTTTGAATGTTGAGAACAAATTTTGAAATGGAGAACAAATTTGGAAGCTCGAACATTTTTTGAAAGCATGAACAATTTTTGAATCTTGAGAACAAATTTTTTAAAAGAATGTTCGTGCTTTTAAAAGAACATTTTTGGAAAGTTGCAAAATTTTTTGAAACGGAAACATTTTTTGAAATCACGAACATTTTTTTAAAATTTGTCAAAATTTTGAGCAAAAACATTCTGAACAATTTTGTTAACACAAAATATTTTTTGAAAATTCCGAACATTTTTTGAATTTATGAACAAAATTTGAAAACATGAACATTTTTTAAATTTTGAACATTTTTGTAAAAGCGTGAACATTTTTTTGAGAGAGAAAACATAAACTTGAAAAACAAAAAAGAAAATAAAAATAAAAATAAACAGAAATAGAAAAAGAAAGGAAAATAAAAAAACCGGTTCGGAAACCTTCTAGAAGGTTCCCAAAACCGGAAAAAACCCAGCTGGGAACCTCTAGAAGGTTCCCAAAACCGGGAGTTCAGGAACAGTTAAACGGGCCGGCTCGTTGCGTCGCTGCTCGCTCGCTCGCCTGTGCGAAGCGCCGGCAGTTTGACGCAAGCGGCAAATAGGATATTCCTTCGCTGCCTATTCGCCACAGTACGAGGTAAATAGGATCCGCCGGCTACAAGGGCCATGGCCCGGGGCGTGGGAAATTTTGCTAAGCTATATTTTATAAATTTTCAAAATCGGCCCGGGACATAGCCCAGCGCCTTCACCTAAATGAACTTTGTTATGCATCCAAGTCACACGGGGAAAGAGAGCTGCCGCTTATGAGCAATATGGGTAAAAGAAAGTAAGTATTTCATCCGGGAAGCCTCCACTAAGATCCAGTTAATATAAACACATTATAATTCTACCATATGAATGAACCATGTTTGAAAAAGACGACTAAATAAGTTTGTTTAAAACATATTTATTATTAAAATTTTCATCCTCAATGGATGGCTTGAGATGATCGATCTCCGAGTGAGAAGAGAAGGGTTGACTCGTCCTCCATTAATAAATTATCAACCTCTGAAAAAATAATTACTTTTACTATTTAAGGCATTGGCTAGCGAGCTGGCGCTCTATGGCCTCCGTCGTGTGGGCAGGATCACCAAAACGCGAGCTACTATCTCTTTCAGCTTCCCCCCCCCCCTCGCTCGTTCGTTTGACGGATCATGGTTGATCAATGATGGTTTTTCAGTTGATTTAGAATCATGTTCATAAATTCGAAAAAGTTTGCACATAATTCATAGATTTGAAAAGAAGTCATAAAATTGAGAAAAAGCTCAAGAATAGGAAAAGAACAAATTTGAAATTTCAGAATTTAATAAAATACAATAAACTGAAAATAATTCACAAATTTGAGAACAGTTCACAAATTTTACAAAAGAACACAATTTAGAAGAAATATGTGAATTTAATTTTTTTTCCACAAATGTCTTGCTTCTTGAGAGACCGAAGGAAGTCTTGCAAGGGTGCCCTCCTTGTTGTTGCTATTTGGCCGGCCCAAGTAGCTTCCTGCAGGTTAGTTCTTTTTTCTTTGTTACTTCATTCGTTTGTTTTTTGTTTTTCTTTTCACTGTTTCAGAAACATTCTAAATACATATATTCCATTACAAAAAATTAATGGAAAAATCATGAAATTGAAAAATGTTAACACAACGTAAAAGGTTGTTAGATTAGTTTTCAGAATATGTTGATAGCTTGCAAAATAAATGTTTGTGATATTAAAAATGATCAAGCTTGTCAAAAAAGCACATGATATTGAAAAAAGCTTATACGA